GTGCCGCTCGCCGCGGGTGACAGGCCGTGCCGCCTGTGCCGGGCCTGGCCCTCGCTGCGCTGGTGTCTTAGTGTGGGTTCTGCTGCGGTGAGAGGAGGAAATGACTTTGTCCTCATCTTTACCCGCGGTGGGGCAGAGGGAAGTGAGTGGCTCAACCCAGGAGCAGGGCAGGAGCAGCAGCAGTCTGAGAGATTCTTCTCATAGAATGCTCTGAGTTCGAAGGGATCCACAGGGGTCATCTCCCTCCTGAAGGAAGCCTAGAAGAAAGATATAGAGGGACTTTTTGCATGAGCATGGAGCGACAGGACAAGGGGGAATGGCTTCAGACTGAAAGAGAGTAGGTTTAGGTTGGATATTAGAAAGTTCTTGGCTGTGAGGGTGGTGAGGCACTGGCACAGGTTTCCCAGAGAAGCTGTGGCTGAGAAGTGCTCCAGGCCAGGTTGGATGAGGCTTGGAGCAACCTGGGCTGGTGGAAGGTGTCCCTGCCCATGGCAGTTTGTTGGAACTATATGGATTTAAGGTCCCTTCCAACCCAAACCATTCTAGGATTCTTTGAGTCCAAGTCCTGGCCTGGACCAGAGGCTCTCATGATGTGACCTGTGATAAACAGAAAGTGTGTGTCCTCACTTACTCCTGCATGACGACACGGTGTCATCACCAGGTATCCTGTGTTTGCTCCCCATGTTGCTCCTGAACCAGCTCTTTTTTGGTGAGTGATCACACTGTGTCCAGCCTCCAGGAAAGATCTTCCTGTTTCTCTGGAAGATCCTATATCTGTGGTTTATGGAAATGCATTGTGTGCACTTGAATTTATGAATCACAGTTATGACACAGGAGTGTTATGACTCACATCATTTGGCTTACATGGGCTAAAAAAATAGCAGGACTAAAATACTGTGTTCCAAGGAGCTAGATGACAGATTTTGTACCCTCTCCATACCTCTCTAGAAGCCTGTTAATTTTCTCAACCTGGTGACAGTGTAATTCTGTTCTTTGTGGGATGTTCAATATGAGATAATTTGGATATGGAAAGAAAACTGTATGTTTTGGCTGCTTTGGGTCATGCAACAATTTTATTCCATTTTTCAGTGGCAATAAAGTTGAAATTGTAAATTAAGTGAGACTTTTGCCTAGAGATTGGGCTTGAAATTATGTTTTCCTATATGAAAGTCGGTAATTTCTTTCACTCCAAAGACAAGAGAGGTGTTCTTGGTGGTCACTAAGTTAATGTTGCCTACTATGTTAGCTTGAAGTCGCTGCCATATAGGTTAGAGCATGAAAATTTGCTTGTTTTGCAGTAACCCTGAGCTGTGTACTGAGGGTAGAATTTGATTGAATTCATGTTTTCATGAATGTGTCTTCAAAAGTAGTTTTCAGTATAGATACGACATTGTAGAGCAGAATCTGTGCTGAACATGGACACAACGTGGACTCGAATCTCCCTCATATAACTCAAAGCATAATTTAACAATGTTTGCTTCTAAACTGGTTTTGAATGTGGCTATGTCCAGTTTAATTTCCTTTATAAGGACCAGATCAAGCCAGGTTATCATCCACTTGAGGCCTATCTCTTATTAAATCAATGGTATTGGCTGAATGGAGGGGATCACGTTAATTCATCTGGAGCCAGGGGGAAGTTCAAAGCTCTGAAGAAATTGACTGTTGGGGCTCATCTGATAACAGGCAAAGGACTTGCAAATGACATTTGTAATAGCTGATTTTCAGCAATTTCTGCAGAACAGGATAGGAGATTTAAGGCAGGAATTAGGCTGTCAGCTATGGGGAACTCTGTTATCAAGATAGCATTTAAAAAGCAAATGTGTATGGAAGATACGATACACAAACTGAACTAAAAAGTTTTGAATCTGTAGTGGAACCTGGGAAATCCTTTCTTAGAAAGACACTGTTGAACTTCATTTATTCCTTATAAATCAAGTAGATTATTTTTAGCACATCCTTTGTGGAAATTTGGAAGGAAAAGCTCATTTTATTTCTCTGTTGACCAGTATTCTGCACATAATATCCACTGCAGTAAATATTTCTTAAATAAGACAGAAATTACATGATTGAAAAAAATGAAGGACATGTCTCCTATGTAATTGTTCTTGGAAAACAGGTATTTTCCAGGTCATGCCCCTTTAAAATATTACCACACATGCATATAGCAGTGATTGTGCCTTCATTTAGGCACTAAACTAATTAACACTCTTTGCTGATGTGTCAGATTGTGAAAACAAAGCACAGGTTTATAATTCTTGCAGAACAGCAGATTTTGCAGAGCGAGAAAGGGAGACTGGGAGATGGGATGAGCACTGGAAGAGGAGGATACAGTGCCAGCAGTGTGGGAAGGGACTGGGCTGCTGCCAGCTCAGTTTGGTCTCGTGACTGGTCAAGTGGCACTGAGTTTTTTGGGATGCAAGGGAGGGAGCTGCAGGTTCCCTGTGTACACATGCATTCAAGGAAGATTTACAAGAGTATAAAGACATGATGGATAGAGAAAAATTGGCATTAGAATATTTTTCAAGTCTTCAGGGCATGTATATCAGATTTCCTTAGGAGAGGAGGCTTTGATAGGCTTGCAGAAAAGCTAAGTGTTACTTTGCAAACAGAAAAAAACTATTCAAGGTCATTCTGCATGTGTATGTGAATTATCTCTTAGTGTGAACATCTGAAGGAAGGGAGAAATGTGAAAAATGTGATATGCACAGAGCATCAGTAAGCAGTGCAGCCTCTGTATAGGGTTCTTCCACAGGGCTGCACTTGGCATTGGTGTCCTTGTAAGAAGAGTGATATTCCAGCTGGATTGCAGGATATTCAGAGGAAAGATTGTGGTTGTGATTTTCATAGGAAGGAGAAGTGCTGCAAACAGCCATAAGGAAGTTGGAGGGCTCCCCTGAAGGGAATGTTTCTGTAGCAAATGGCTCATTTGACCTGTAATTAAAACTGCAAACATTTTCCTAATCGCATAGATGTAAAGATGGCACAAGGAGAGAACTTACACTTGGTATGAAAACTTGGCTTTTGATAAGAATTTATATAAAGGAAACTTAATGTTGTGTATCAGGAAGAACTTGGCTGGAGAGAGATGAGTGACTTGCAGGGAAATTGTTTTCATGTGATATCAACCAGTGACTTCTGAAGTGTAACCAAGAGGTTGAACAAAACACAGTTACTGACTCAGTCTATGAATGAGGAGTTCTTGGGTGATCTGTTGAGATGGTGAGATTTCTGCCCTGTTTACCAGGATTCAGCATGTTGCAAAGTATTTCTAACAAGCTTTTATCTTTCTGTTTGGTGGCTGGGCCTGACTGAATAGGGCATCCTATATTTCTGAGGAAACAGACCTTGAACTGGCAATATTTGCTTTTCAGCCCTTGGTTTTCATTATTAAAATAACACTATAATGCTGGTTTTCCCTTCCCTGTTACTTCTGACAAGGTTTTAGACCTATTAACATGGAAACCAATTTGATACCTGTGGAGATCTATTTTAATGATTATTTTCTTTTTTTAAACCAAGTTTTATCAAAAGCAATGGTGTCATATTCACCTGTTTCATTGTTGGAAATGAGGTGTGACAGATACCACTGTTAACCAGAGCCACTCCCAGCTCTGTGTGTGTGTTGTGTTTTGCAGTTCTTGGACTATTGCTGTAGTTAATTTAATTTTTTTTCTGTGAACTCCTCATGGTTGAGAGAATACTTTTCTTACTGACCTTAGATGTGCTGGTGTTAGCACCTAATCAATGCTGTTAGAATACCAGTGAAGCTGAAGTGATAAATGCTATTATTTTAATGATAGAAGTTGGACTGTGTTTAGAGTAATTTAGTGTGAAGTATGTGATGAAATGTCTGAGCTGGTGTAAGTATTAGACCAGCTGAAATAGGAGGTCTTGGTTTTATAAATGAGGTGTCTGCCTTCAGGAAACATTGTTGGGTGGAGAAATAACCTTAACTCTTCACCCTTGTGGTACTTTTATGGAAGATCCAGCAAATACTGTGGAAGAAACTTGGATAACCTTGAGCTTTTAGCATCACTCATGCTTTGTTTTCCCTTCTTGGTGAGGTTAAGTCCATCATAATTTTTTATGTGGGTTTTTTTTTGTATTATTTTTCCTTTTTATCTGCTTTGTCTCTGCAGCTGCAGTTTGATGTTATGTGGTGTCCAGTGGCATCTCGCTGCCACAGGGCAGTGCCTTGGTCAGTTCTGTTTGATGCATCAGAGAGCTGAACTGTGAAAAAACCCCAAACCCTTACTTGGTCAGTAGTTGTTTTAGACAGATGAATTCTATCTGTTTCACTGTGCAGCTCATGCCTGGCTCTGGTGATGTAACATCTCAAATCAGCATAGCTGCTGCACACTTCAGCCACTTTATAACGACAGGGCACAAGCTCAGCTGGAAATAAGGTCATTTAGAGCCAGCTCTTCCCAGACCTGCAGCAAATTCTTTGTCTGATGCTATCTAGAGTCGATGTTCAAACTCACCATAGTAAGACCAGTGTTCTCAATAATAAACATGCAAACCTAAGAGGTGATGGGGTAATTGTCAGCACTGCACTTGCTCTTGATTGTAGTAAATCTTCTAAACACTTGGAAAATTATGTGTAAGCAGCTGCTTAAGGACCAGCCTGCTGTGGCACATTGTAAGGAGTTTTTATTCTGTGACCAGGAGCCTTTTGTGGCAGATGAATACATTGAACGCTTGGCATGGAGAACACCTGGAGGAGGTTCCAGAGGTGGAGAAGCTTTTGATCCCAAAAGGTAAAATCAAATTGCATAATGGTCAAAGTGAATGTATGTCTAATTGGACTGTTTTATTCTGCATATAACAAAAAGCCTGTGTCTAGTGTTGCTGTGTGTCCAAGGAGGTTTTCATTCGGGAGAATTGCTAAAACTTGTGGCAATGAGCCAGTTATTCAGAATTAATTATTCAGTAACAAGAGTAGGG